TGAGGTAGCACAGCCCTCCCGTTGTCCTCTCTGAAGTGCATGTGCCATCGCTGCCAGCATGGAACTGATGCCAGAGCTGTGGAGCTCAGTGCAGCTGTTTGCAGCCTGCCTGCTGCTTGCTGCAGCTGCTCAGAGTCCAGGCTGGCTACAAACAGCTGTGCCATGCTCCAGAGCTGAGTCATCAGCCTCTGCCAGCAGCAGGGGAGAAGCCAGGGTTGCGCTGCCTCAGGCCGCTCCCCCACCATCTTCTCCAAGGTGCACGTGCACCTGCCAGTATGGAGATAATGCCAATAAAGATATTTTTTCCAAAAAAAAGATGTGTGCTTTATTTTCAGGTATTATGTGAGAAAATATGGTAGTGTTTTCCTAGATAATTTTTCCATAGATGCAAGTATGTTACCCTCTACTTCAGGGACAGACTGTAACCTAGCCTCATGTGGACACAAACTGGGGGACAGGAAGCAAGCAGCATTCTTCATCTGTCCCTCCAAAGAGAAAGTTGATAATCATCCCTGCCCATAAATATTGAGAAGAAAGCTGACCACAAAGATGGAGAAGTACAGTAGTTGAGTTGCACCAGTTCAGAACTGAAACAAGGGTTTTGTGTGCAACTGACAAATCCCAGCAATTAGAATATAAATAATAATGGCGGCACACTAGCAAAGCAGACAAATCGGATGGCAGGCTTAAAGTTTTGGACTTAAAAAATGCAAACTTCAACAAGCTCAGGTCACTAGTAGGGAATATGCTGAGGGGCCAGGGACCAAAGGCAAAAGGAGTGTATGAAGGATGGTTGTTCCTAAAGGACACACTCCTTGAAACACAAAGGAAATCTGAACTAAAATTAGCAATGGGAATCACGGACAACAAGAAGTTCTTTTTTATGTATGTAGGGAACGGAAGGAAAACAAATGGAAGTGTGGGGCCATTGCTCAAAAACTCAGGACAACTAGTCACCAGCACTCAAGAGAAAACTAAACTCCTGAATGACTACCTTGCTTCAGTCTTCCTCCAGGCCAAGGGGAAAACCATGCCAGCTAGGGTACAAAATGAGCAAGGTTCAAATGACCACCTTCCTACTACTGCCATAGAACTGGTATGTGATCAGTTAAAGAAATTGGACATATGTAAGTCAGCAGGTCTGGATGAACTTCATCTGAGGAGCTTGCTGAAGTCATTGTGGAACCCCTGGCAAAGCTCTTTCAAAAAACTCATGGTGCTCCAGGGCAGCATTGCCTCTAAGCTGCATGGCGTGCGTGGCTGCGCTGCCAGGCACACCTGCACAGCCATGCAGCTTAGAGGGAACACTGCTCAGGAGAGTTTCTCAAGGACTGGAAGAGGGCCAGTGTTGTGACCATCTTCATGAAGGGGAGGAGAGAGGACCCAGGTAATTATAGCCTAACTTCTATTCCAGGGAAAATCCTGGAAAAGTTAATTAAGGAGTCTATGTGCAACAGGCTTGCAAAAGGTAGGATTCTGAACAACAGCCAGTATGGCTTCATTGTGGGAAGGCCTTGTTTTACCAACCTCATCTTTTACAATCAGGTGACTCATCACCTGGATAAGAGAGAATAGGTTAACCTTGACTTCAAGAAAGCTTTGGATCTGGTATTCCACAACATCCTCACGAGAAAATAGGAAGACTGTGGGCTTAACTGTGAGACAGGTAGGTATGAAACTGGCTGTGGGGCAGGACCCAGAGAGTTCTAATGAATGGATCTGTGTCATCTTGGTGGGAAGTGGCCAGTGGTGTCCCGCAGGAGTCAGTGCTATTCAACATCTTCATCAATGATTTGGATGTGGGGGTGAAGGACTCACTGGCCAGGTTCGCAGATGACACCAAGTTATGGGGAAGCATGGTCACACTTGAAGATAGGCTGCAGATTCATGCGGGCCTAGACAGGCTAGCGAGTTGAGCAAACTGGAAACAGATGAAGTTCAACATTGAAAAATGCAAAGTGCTCCACCTGGAGACAGACAATCCCTTGCACACCTACAGGCTTGTTAACGCCAACCTGAGCAGCACTACGAATGAAAGGGACCTGGGGGTTATAACTGACCACAGTATGAACATGAGCCGGCAGTGCAACGCTGTAGCCAGCAGGGCTAACAATACGCTGGAATGAATCAATCGATGCATCTCCAGCAAAACCGAAGCAGTGATTCTCCCACTCTTCTTGGCATTGGTAAGACCACAGCTGTAGTATTGCGTCTAGTTCTGGGTGCCGCACTTTAACAAGAACGTGGTAAAGCTTGAGAGAGTCCAGAGAAGGGCCACCCATATGATCAGTCTTACAGAGTAAGCCATATGAGGAAAGGCTGAGGGATCTAGGATTCTTCAGCCTGAAAAAGAGAAGCCTGAGAGGAGACTTGGAGCAGCTTACTGCTACATCAGAAGCATATATCAAGGGCTTGGTGAACAACTGTTCACCAGGGCACCCTTGGGGAAAACCAGGAATAACAGTCACAAACTCCTGGAAGACCATTTCAAGCTCAACATTAGGAAAAATTACTTCACAACTAGGGTGTCCAGACTGTAAAATAAGCTCCCTCCAGAGGTAGTATAATCGCTTACCCTGGAAATCTTCAAAAGGAGACTGGATAGGCACCTTGCTGGGGTCACCTGACCCCAGTTGTCTTTCCTGCTTGGTGCAGAACGCTGGGCCCAATGATCTTCCAAGGTCCCCTCCTACCTTACAATCTATGACTCTGAATTATAGATCAATGGTAATCACGTCAGAATGTCAAAAGTACTAGGGTATTGCAGGGCACTAAGGTGTGCCAGCTCCTTTAAGGGCAGAAACTGCCTAGAGAGAGGGCCCTAGAAGCCAGGCAGAAACCCCACAGGTGCAGGTTGCTGTGGCAGCAGGCTAAGGAGGGAATTAGCCTGCAACTGTCCCCAGTCAGCTCACCAGAAGAAGGCAGAGCCCTAGGCACAGGTAAGCCCCAGGCCTGGAGGCAGTTAGTTCTCTGGTAGCAGCCAAGGGGGGAGGAGCTCTCATAGAGAAAGCTATGTGGAGATGCCTGACTCTGTTCTGATGCTGGTAGGATTAAGGGCTATAGGAGCTCATAAGTGCTGATGGGGAGGAGGCACATTAGACAGAGAGAAGCTTACCTTCTTAAAAGGGATAGAGGGTGGACCATAGGTTATTGTTATGTTGTAGCCCAGGGGCTTTTGTTTTCTGTTGTTATTTATGCCAGTGTACTGGGGTGAGACTATTGGGGAGGAAGAGACCTCATTGGGGCATACTACAGTGTGGAGACCCCAGCACCAGAGGGCACCGAGACACGGCTTGCAGAGAGCTCAGCACCAAAGGACGCTGGAACAGGGCTTACAGAGACGGGATGCAGAGCACCCAGCGCCAGAGGGCATAGCAACATGGGGTGAGGAGACCCCAGCACCAGAGGGCGCAGTTACTGCAGCTAAAGGTCCAGTGACAGCACAAGGCCAAACTAGACTGAGGCCTCATCACAAGAGACAATGCCTAAGTACCATCTGCAAGGCATGGGGCATGGTAAAGCGCTGGTTTTGGAGCCAGGCATCTAGCCCATAAGACCTGGAGGCGTACTGCAAGGCACCTCTTGAGTGTGGGACCCAGTAAGGGGTCCAACAACCCACAGGGTTTAGAGGAGTCTGTCAGCAGCAACCGGAAGGCAGCCTCCCAATTCATCATTCATAATCAGCAAGATGTGGCAGGCAAGATTAGTAGGCACCCATAGGGCAGAGCTGGCACAGTCACAGGGCCCTAGGGACATCACAGCCATCCCTGAGGTGGCCGTATCATAACATAGGGAAAGCCCAATCTACCTAAATAATAGGGAAGGCTCTACAAAAATAAGGGACTAAAGGAACATAAAACGCTCATTTTTAAAAAGTCTGAAAAATTAATTCTTTGGACAGATGATTCTGGAGAATACAAGAAAGACTACTTCCAATTTATTTTAAGTAACACTTGAAATGTAAGCTTGCATAGTGCAGTCACTAAGTAGTAAAGCTAGGACTGCTGAAGAGTAAGGTTAGTAAGGACGGGGGTACTGGTAACACTATTCATAGGATTATTTTACTGGTTATTTCAGAAAGTGGTTATTGCTGATGCTCTACAAGTACAAAATGTAAAAAATGGTCTATTTCTTTCTATCTTTGTTACACTTGCATTTTTTGTGCACTTTTTAGCAAAGTAAAAATGATTACCTCATGGTTTGTGGAGTAAGAAAAATGAACTGTCGATAATGCTGAGAGTCTGCCACCTTAAGCATCATGTCCATTGAAATTCGTCTATTAACCATGTCCTAAAAACAAAGTATTTATCAGTAACTGTTTTTAATTTATAATATTTTAGTGTTGTACATTACCACAAATTAGGTTAATGACATGAGAAAAATGAATTTGGTAATATCCTAACAGGGCAGTGCTACCAAGAGTCTGAAATGTAAAATGAGTTTAACTAGACAAGTATAATTCTAGTAAATGTTAAGTAAAGCACTGAAATCCTAGTCATAACAAAGACTATGTATTCATTCTTAACTCCACCTTTTACCATATGTGTACCATGAAAATCTTCCTATTACATAATCACATATTTTGTCTTTTTCTACCACCTTACATACATAGCATTTTCTACTACTGTGCAATACAATATTCTGATGAGTCCCTGAAAGTCACTGGCACATAACACCTATGATGAAGAAAAAAAAAGAGGGTCTTGAAAATTCCTTCATCATTTTGTCAGTCATACAGGTAGATCTTAGAATCGTAGGAAAATGTGTATATCACGTTATACTTGGGAAACAGAATATAATTATGTAACTAAAGGCTACATACAACGCAGTACAGTTATAATCATCCACTACCGTCCTGAGCACTCAGTCATGTAAAAATTATCTTCCCAGTTTTCCAATGGACTTTTTTAAATAGAGTAAATCTATCATCTGAAATTGTTTGGTTAAAGACCATCATCATTCTCTGCAACCAGAACAGTTCCAATGAAAGAAAGGCACAGCCTCTGCATAATTCAATAGGAAGGTACTGACTTAAGGACTCTGACAAAACCTTGAGCCTCCTTCAGTATGCATCTTACACTTGAAACTTTATGTACCCTACAATGGAGAATGCAGCCAAAATTCAGCAGAGCCTTGACTCCTTCAAACGCTTGTATTAGTAATATAAAGTTGTCTTCCTTGTTTATATGCTGTCAGACCCTTCTGACAGTCAGCTCAACAAATGTAACTTTAATATGGAAAAATGTTTGCCTGGGTCTGCCTCAAGGCATGGGGCAGGCAGGCAATTTAAATATAAGCTTATTATTGCATACATACACTGAACTGAGAAGGGATAGTTAAAAAAGACCCAGAAAACTAAAAGGGACTGTCATCCATTTTCAAAATCATTAGTGTATTTGAAATGCCCTGTTGCACAGAAAGTAATCCATATCAGATTTATATTAGTTTGAAAAATACACCTCAGGATTTCCAATCTGTGGCTTACATTTCTCTTATTTGTGAATTATGATCTCTCTTGGTCTATCATTAACTTCTTAAGAAAAACTCTACAATCATATTCTCTTTCCCTGAGATCCAAGTCCAACGAAAGGCTTTTTAGCTTAAGAATTATGACCAAAGAACAACTGAATTGTACGGTGAAAACAGAAGTTAGGGATGTGCCATCTATGTCTGAAGAGCTCAAATGGTGTAACAGGCAAGTTTCTAGAACTACCCATTCCTTGTAATTTATAACAGAAACCTGGGTGGAGAAACCACTGATTATGGGCATAAGCAACATGAAGAACGGTCACCTGAATTTCTACTAACAAGTTTAACATATGTTATAAAATGGACAATATGACTCCCATGGCAGGATCCCCTGATAACAAATTATTTTCTAAATTAAGTTTAGATATGGGCGAGAGTTCCAGATACCTTCTATAGGTTTTTTTCTTCTGTCTCCTAAAGCTCACCGCCAGTTATTCCTAGTCAGTCACCACGCAGAATACTAGAACTAAGGGGCACTGTGACGGGGAACCCTGGCCCTCTTAATGAAAAGCAGCATGGCCCCTTGACAGGCAGGGTTTTTGTAGCACAGGCAGCCAGCAGAGTGGGGGTTAAAGAACAGCCCTGTAGCCAGGTCAGCTGACAGGGGCATCACATGACTGGAAGAGAGCTCAAGCTCCAGCTTTATAAGCCCTGGGCTGAAGCTGGTCAAGGATGACAGCCTGAGACTAATGGAGGGAGGAGCTCCATGCAGCAGCACAGCAGGGCTCCTCCATCTACAGTGGGACTAGAAGGAAGCAGCTCTGCAGGCCTGGGAACAAGGGGGACTTACCTGGGGCAGAGAGACTTGTCATGTAGGCAAATGGCCTTTATTTTTCATTAAGCCCAGTGAGGGTTTGGGTGCCCACCAGAAAGCTGAGGTGTTCTGATTTCAGTTACACTGGTGGCTTAGGTTTGGGACGAAGGCAGGAATGGGCAATTATTTTGGCTGCAGGGCCACTTAATGAGTTCTGGTGAGCTGTCCAGGGCCGCACACACAAAATCTTTCAGAAAAAATAATTAACAAATTATAGATAAGAAGCAAATCATATACTAAAAATCAAACACCTACTATATCATATTTTAGCCTTATTTCAAAAAATAACTTTAGTCCTGATTCATGTTTTGAGTACTGTATATAGAGGCGACTACAGAATAGCTCCAAATAAAGTCTTACTCTTGTACATTGTGGGGGCGCATACAGCAGAGCTCGTCTGGGCAGTGCAGTGCAGGTGCAGTCCAGTCCATTCCCCTCCTCCCCCGTGCCCACCTGGGCCTGCCTGCGCCATGCTCCTGCTGGCATCCGCCCTGCGCCCACCAAACAGCACCACCCCCTGCCAGGAAGCTGCGTACACTGGCTGGGTTCCTCACAGAGCAGCTGTAGCCACCTGGGTATTAGCCTGGGTCTGGTCCAGCCACACAAGGGAACTTGGCTTGGCCCAACCCTGATCCAGCCACACAGGACAGAAAGGCAGTTGGTCCGGCCCCAGCAAGGCTCCGTAGGATGGGGAGAGAGCTTGGCCTAGTCCAGCCTTGTGGGGGAAGGGGACATGACCCAACCCCATGAGAGGAAGGGGGGATGCCCTGTCCCCAACCTGGCTGGATGGGGAAGAAGGGGACATGGCCCAGCCCCATGTGGGTGGGACAGGGGACATGAGCTGGCCCTGGGAAGAAGGCATGGTCTGGCCCCACAATGAGAAGGAGGTGCAGCCTGCTGCATGGCGGGAAGGGAGCATGACCCAACCCCAGTCTGGACATGTGCGAATGGGGCTATGGCCCGGTTCTTACCCACCTTCAGGACTTAAGATTTTGACAGGAGGGAAGGGTGGCAATACTGCCACTGCTCCTCTATTGCCAAATTTCCTGACCTGTGGGCTGCATTCAAAGTCTCTGCAAGTCACATTTGGTTCACTGGCCAGAGGTTAAGCACCCCTGGTTTAGGTAGGTTCAATAAGGGACTAGACAAATTCATGAATGACAGATCCATTAACAGCTATTAAACAAGCAGGAATGTAGCCTCTGACATCCCAAAACCAATTACGGTGGATGGCAGGGGGGTAAGACACTCTAGCTACACCCTTTTCATATGCTTTCCCTCAAAAGCATCTACTATTGCCATTATCAAACACAGGAGACTAGGCTAGATGGACTATTGGTGTGACCCAGTGTCACATAATTTGGTATTATTTAAACACGAACTAGATTTTATTTTTCTTATTTACTGTATTTACTTGAATCCAAAATGAAGTATTTTCCCTCCATTTAACATGCGGGGTAGACCCTCATTTTAGATTCCAGTACAAGATGGAGTCTGCTGGAGTGAGGCAAAGATAAGTGGCAGGAGGGCAGAGACTACAAGAGGAAGAAGGGGGGGCAGACAGAAGGCATTCAGAGGGGAGCAGGGTTGGGTGAGAGGGGACAGGTAGAAGGGAACAAGTTGTTGAGAAGGCAAGGGGCAGGGGTCAAGCTGCTTGATCCCCTCCTCCCTCCACCTACCATGTAGACATCAAATTCATCCAAGCATCTGAAAGGAGATTCAGTAATGGACCACACTGAAAGAATGAAACAAACTGTTGAGAAGGAACGTTCACCTCCTGATAGAGATCTTGTGTCATGCAAAGCAGCCTTGTCTCCCTCTCCAGGCTGGACCTGGAATTAAGCCATTCATTTAACAGGTAAATAAAAATATACTTTAATGTTATAAAATTAACACTTAATTAATAAAACAATACATACTATATTGTAAACAACAACCCCAATGCTTTCTAAGGAGTTTATAAATTTCAATGTGCATGTGTCACAATGAAACTAAAATCATTAAATTGTATTCAATTTTGGAAGACATTTTTAAGGTCATTAGACATGAATTATCCACTGCTGAAGAAATCATGGAACAGAATTAATTTAAACCAGCAACTTCCCATGTAACTTCCTGATCAATTTCTGTTTTTAATAATTACTAAGTTCCTGAACTAATGTAGTTATGTTACTAGCAAATCCAAATGATCCAAGTGTAACAGAGAACTGCTTTATCAACAGTGTTTTAACAAAGAACAGTTCCTCTGCAATCATAAATTAAATGAAAAAAACAGCCCTTTTAATTGTATTCTAAAGCTCTTAAACAGTACAAGAAGTCGGCTTTTGAAGATATTATGTATCTTCAAAAATACATGGGTAAACTTAATGTGATTTCTGTTAACTTTTTAAAAACAAAGTATTTTATATATTTTTCTTTCTTAGCTTTCAGAATCCTAAATTTGTTCTTTCTTTTCCCTGCAAGAATTATAATCACTCAATAAAATGCATCAATAAGACCAAAGTGAGTCCATGACAGAAGCCAACACTATGTTCTACCAGTGTCTAAGTTTATGTATTCTAGCAGCAGAAAAATAATTCAGAACTATTTTAAAATATAGGACAAGTAGTAACTTGTGTGTTATTATATAGACTACAGTACAGAGGAAAATATTTTGATTCAATGAGTAAACAAATATACTGATCAAATTTATAAGTAAATGTTTATTATTTGATCTTCATCACCTACAAAATCTAAAAACTGTAACTGATTCATGTAAGAAACTAGCTACAAAAAGGTGGGGTGCCATCCACTGACAAGCTATTAACTGTAAATGCGAGCACAGTATTTCTAGGACATTCCACTAATGTGCCAAATGTGCAATAGCTACTCTTCTTAATTTTCCTAGTTATTAAAATTAGACTACAAATAGGGAAAGAAAGAAAGATTATATATTTACTACATTTTTGTATTTTACCCTTTATATTTACATTTAAATATAGTTATTCTTATAATAGGCCTTTTTTTTATACCCCCTGCCTTTTTTATTCTTATAACAGCTCACCCCATTTTTTCTATACCTGAAGTTCTAATCCTCTGACAATTAACCTGCCATACCTGATGTCAAAGAATAATATTATATGATCTTGGCTATGAAATGGAAACCAAGAGCAGTAAAATAATCTAAAAAAAAATCCCTGTTTTATGCAAAACTGTATTTATAAAGGAAAGGAACTTAAGTATATAAGAGGTAACTGAGCAGAATTCTTCTTTAAAGTTAAATTTCCATGACAAATTAAATATTGTTAAATTTAATTTTAGGTAACTATTTATGAAGAAGAAACGAAAACTTACTATTATTGAAAGTGTTTCATTGTTGTGGTCAATATCTAATCTTCCAGAGTAATATCGATTCTTTAGGAACTCACCAAAGTTGTACTTGCATCGCAAAGTAAGGGACCTTTTCATTTAAATTATGCAAACAAACATTAGGTTAATATTTTTTTAAAAAAAGACAGGGAAAAGATAAGAACATCAGATTTTTAGCCAATAAGTACCCATTAAGTATTTAAGAAATAATGCATACACAAGAATGCAGTACAATTATAATCCTCCACTACTGTCCTGAGCACTCAGTCATGTAAAAATTATCTTCCCAGTTTTCCAACGGACTTTATATTTAAGTAGAGTAAATCTATAATCTGAATAATGTGCTAGTAATTTACATATATCATATTTTATGTCACAGCACATGGACATCCCCCCACAAGCAGCCCTTCAAAATTTAGATGTGTATTTTAAGCAGTGAAACTGATTTTTCTTCACTGGAACAGAATCACGGTGGGAAATAGCATGCAGACACTGACACCTGGCTATCAAGATGGTTACCACTTCTCCCTTGGGCAAAGAGCAGGGGCAGAGCTTAACCTTCTCCTAACCACTGGTGAGGCAATAGCTTTTGGTGGAAGAACCACTGAGCTAACAGAGAGAGTGAGCTGCTGCATGAAGTCTGTAATCTGATGAAGCCTGAGGTATGAAAAGAGCACTTTTTATTTACAGGATAAATAAATAAAATACATTTACAGTAAATAAAATCATTTACTGTAAAGAATTATTTATAATAAGTAATAGTCTTACTACTGCCCTTGCAAGGATCTGGGATCTAGCCTTTTTTGCTGTCTTTTTATACCAGGAAGTTCTTGCTGCATCACCCAAACCATTTCTGGTGGTGCCACCTATTTCACACAGTTAGCTATGACTCTGAAAAAATATTTTTTTTTCTATATTCTGTCTTCCAAAAACAAGGTGTGTGTTTTATCAGGGGGCAGAGATGTGTGGTATGCAAGGAAATATGATTTGACATACAAGATAAAATGGTGTTATATATGACAGAATCACATTGTATGCCTGACAAACAGGTGTATGAGTGGTCAGGTATTGCAACACGCTACCTAACAAGTTGTGGAATCTCCATGCTTGGAAACTTGGCTGAGATGGTTTAAGTCAGGGATGATCCTGCCTTGAGCAGGGGGCTAGACAAGATGACCTTCTGAAGTCTCTCCCCCATCCCTACTTTGCCATGATCCTATGTAAGCAAAAGGACAAAATTAGGAAATCTAACCCTATGTACCTTCTCTTTCCCTTCCTAGACACATTCATTCAATTACTAAAACACATCACAATTTAAAGGCTCTCAACTACAGTAAGCTAGAGTTAAAACATCTACAAGTTCATCATAACTAGACAAAAGACCTGACTTCTCCCCCAATCCTATCACTACTATCCATTCTGCATAATTCTGGAGGTATAGGGGGGAGGGGAGAATCCACTCACTCATGTCTGGAGAAGGAGTGATTAGGGTATTTCTATTGTTATAGTTATTGTGTTTCGTCTTTGTGAGAGAGTTTAGTGGTGAAGTGTGCATGTGTGCACAGACCAACATGAAATACAGAGCCATTCATTTGCATTTGCTTGCTTTAGTGCTCCTTGTGTTGGCTATATTATATCCACAACTTGGACTCACACAGCTGCCACAACAACCCAACATAGTTTTGTATATTCATTTCTCATATTTTTTAACCCTAATTAGAAAAGGTAATCCTATCTACACTAATGGCTACTTTTACAAAGAGGAATACTTGCTTCTAAACTCCTTTCCAGTAGAACTCATTAGTTTGTCACCAACCCTATTCTTTGTGATTGATTCCATTGGTTCAGAAGAGCAGCTTTTCAGATTATGAAAAAGCAGTTGCTTACATGAAACTCTGGAGCGCCTAAGATGGTTGAATAGTTGCACAAAGATAAACAGCTTTCAAACTGTACTGCTTACTCTGTCAAGGTTTTGTTCTTCTCAGGAACATTCACTTGCTCCGAGATGGAGTTATGCATCTTTTACATGTCAGAGTGGTTAGTCATGTTAGTCTATTAGTCTAAAATATTAGGGAGCATACTGTGAAGAACACTTACTATAACTCACCGGTCTTCTCCCACTCTATCGCTCAGAAGAGGCCCAAGTTCCATTACACTAACCAAGGAGGGGAAAGCTGAGAGATGAGTATCTTTTCTCTTAGGGAAGAACCTACATATTTTCAGTGCCCACTCTGAGAGTGATCAGTACTGGAGATTTCCTCTTTTAGATTATGTTCAATAATTAGTGCTTTAGATATGATTATTCTCAATGAAGAAAACAATGCAAAGACTGCCTTATTATTACAGACAGTAAGAAGGAACTAAGACGACAGCTAGCCCTGCTCTTCCCATTTCATGCTGACTGAGCAGTAGCCAAAAAATACTGAGGAGTAGTGCGTCACACCACATACAGCGCTAATATGCTACTGCGCAGTATTATTGGATTACTGCTCATTTATTTAGTACTTGCCAATACAAGTCCTAAATAAATGCATAGTAACAACTATGCAGTAGTGTCCTGTGTAGACGTGTCCAATAGCATCTAAGGTGAAGACATGGTTTTAGAAGTCCCAGTCAAGAATCCAATTTCATATACAGAAGACATGTGTATGAAACATCACTCATATCCCCCAGTCAATTAATCCTGCAAGTGTCTGAAAGAGGATTGCTAGAAGGCAGCCAATAAAATAATCATCAAGCCATATTCTAATCTCAGACATACTTCACAGTAAATTTTCATTTCTAAATTCTTCAGAAATTAAAGGTGACCAGCATCTAAGCCAGTGATTCTTAACCTTTTTAGACTCAAGATACTCCTCATAATATCAAGGTACCTTAAAAAAAAAATGTCAGCTCTTAGCTTTCACTCATTTCTTGACTAGGGCAAAATAATAGGGCAATTCTTCTGTTGCAAAGAACTCAGAAACACTTACTAGGTCAGAATATTTTGGATTAATTTTTTAACTTTCTGGGTTTATCATGTAAATCATGCTTACCTGATTTTACACCTAACATTGCTAACCTTGCACAGCACTCTTAGGAAGATCTCACAGCACCCTGCTTGACAATTGATGATCTAACCAAAGCCTTCTGATAATGTTCTGTACACAGAATTTAGTGGAGGAATTAAGAGAGGTCTATTTGCAGCTAAAAATTGAAATCTTGGGTAAAATATTGACACCCTTCCACAATTTGAATCTTGTTTTATTGTTTCAGAGGAGAGCAAATAAAAAAAGATAAATATACAAGAGAGGTACAAAGATTTACTATGAAAGGTTCTGGGAAATGCCTACATTTCTATGATCTAACAATGTATGATAAATGTTTAAATTTGCCCATGTATATAGTTTTACAAGAGGTACCCGAACCACTAGCATTTACTAAACATCACTCACTTTCTGAACTTCTTGTACGTGCGGCAT